AATCTCGAATAATCGATATCCGGTTTGAGGCATAATTGGAAAAATCTTCCTTGCTCCCTTGCCCCCTTGCCTCCCAGTCCGCCCAGGTGAACTCAGCTGGTATTTTGGGAGCCAGGGCTATGTTATCACAGAAGTCAAGGTCGGCAAATGGCAACAACAAAAATTTATTGTTTCACAGTCTGGAGCCTGGAAGTCCAAAATCAAGGTGTGGGCAAGGCCATGCTCCCTCTGAAGGCTCTAAGGAAGATTCTCCCCGCCCCCTCCTAAGCTTCTGGTGGCCGTGGTGGTGGCGGTGGGCAGTCCTCACATTTCCTGGCTCGCGGCCGAATCACTGCGGTCTCTGCCTGTCTTCCCACAGCTATTTCCCCTCTGTCTGTGTCTGTTTTCTCCTTTTTATAAGAACACCAGTCATGGTATTAAACCCCACATTAATCCATGGTGATGTCACCTTAATTCAAATGACTACAGCTAAAGACATTGTATTTCCAAATAAGGTCACATTCTGATGTTCCAGGTGAACATGAATTTGCAGGGGAGGGGTGGGGACGAGGGGGGGACGCTATTAAACCCATATACATCATGAGCAGATTGGCTCATGGTGACTGTGCAGTTCTCCTGGCCATCGTCCCCACCACCAGGTCATCTGTAGGGGTGAGCTGAGGAGGGCAGCCCCCTCCCATCCACACTTTCCTGCCCAGTCCACCCACCCTCCCTCCTGCCTCTCTGGTAATCTGTGCTCTCTCAGCACAGCGGGACATGATCATGACCATGGAGAGGCCTCCTTGCCGTGGAGAGGAGTGTCTCGCCCTACGTGTGGGTTCCTGGACAGATTTTTATCTGTTGTTCACCTGTCTTTCTTTGAACCGTGCTCCTGACAGACCACAATTCCTCTTTTGTACACACACTCCTTCCAACTTGCTTTCTCTGAGGTAGAAAACATCCATTTGCATTTCCTCCCCACCCCCACGCCTTTGGAAAAACAAAAAAACCAAAAAAACGTTTTCACGGTACAGCGCCAATCATGCCGTTATTGATGTCTCTGTCCCCTGGAATGCTTTCCCCGCTTTCCATCCCCCTGCCTGCCAAGCACACTTGACCTGTGGTATGTAAAGGTCACAACAGCACTGATCAATCTCCTCCAAGTGTTGTCACCTGTCCAAAGTACACGGTGTTACAAGATTAGAGGGGTATGAGAGGAGAACACGGGAGGACCCAGAGGCACTCTTGCCCGGTTGAGGAAAGGGGGAAGATCAGTAGGCCGATTAATTAGCTCCTGGCCACAAAGCAGAAATGCAGATCAGGTTTACCATCCCAGAAAGAAAACAAAAACAAAAACGTGGGAAACACAGGAACAAGAGCTTTTCAGTACCTAAGAGTGCAGATTTAATGACCCAAAGACTAAACTCAGGTAGATGTTTAAAAAGTACTTTCCTGGGGCGCCTGGGTGGCGCAGTCGGTTGAGCGTCCGACTTCAGCCAGGTCACGATCTCGCGGTCCGGGAGTTCGAGCCCCGCGTCGGGCTCTGGGCTGATGGCTCGGAGCCTGGAGCCTGTTTCCGATTCTGTGTCTCCCTCTCTCTCTGCCCCTCCCCCGTTCATGCTCTGTCTCTCTCTGTCCCAAAAATAAAATAAATAAACGTTGAAAAAAAAAATTAAAAAAAAAAAAAAGTACTTTCCTTTGGGGAACTATGAGTTAATCTGGTGGCTTCTGGTGACCTCATAATGGCAAGAAAATTTGAGACCAGCATTATAACTAACAACCCACTTTAAATCTTTGAAGGGCGTTTGCACAAAGTAACATTCATTTTCCTAACCGGCACTTAACATACTGATAGAAGTCAAACTGCTTTGCAGGTGAATGTTTTAGGATGTAAGGAATTTTTCATCCTGGGCAATTACATTGGAATCATCTGGGGTCCAGACTGCGTTAGTCAAAGTTGAAGGCCAAGCATTAGGGGGTTTTAAAAATTCCCTAGGTCATGTTAATGGGCAGCTATGGCCCAGAACTGCTGTAAAAAGTTAGAACGTTCAAAGCTCATTTACTACTAAACACAAAAATGCAACCACATCTGTTAGTGCATGGCCTCACTAAAATTCCTTATACCAGGACCGAATGCTTTTCCCAGTTGGTGGGTTACTTTTCCAAATGGCAGAATAGGAGTTTGGAAAGAATACATTCTGTCGTCTCAAGTCTTGATTTGTTCCAGCCCCGCTGGACTTCTGCGAAGGGAATGAGGACTCCGTTCCCCGTCCACAGCTCAAGTTCTCTTCCTAAATTTCTCTTCCCATTTTAACCGGCCTGCCTGCCCCGGGGTGTCATCTTGGCCTTCTCATCCCTCCATCCCTTAACTCCCTTACCCTACAAACACAGGTTTTCCCTACATTTCTGGTCCTGTAGAAATAGCAAATAACAAACCACAATTCTTAAATGGCATTCCATAAGTAAAAGAATATTCATTAAGCCTCTCTTCTGGCTAAAAAAAGTGGGTATAATATTTTAGCTTAGTGCGAGACTAAAATTAATCAATCAAGAAATACGGATTGAATGTTCAGGGGGACAAAGGCAAGAGTGGAAAACGTACAAAGAAGTAGGTAGCATGTAGATACTCAAGGATCTTACCATTTAGAACAGGGATTGGCAAACTATGGCCCACAGACCAAATCTGGCCCCCTACTTGTTCCTGTAATTAAAGTTTTATTGGAACACAGCCATACCCCTCCCCCCGCCCCGCACAAAAAAAAAAAACAAACCATATTGTCTGTGGCTGCTTTTATACTATGATGGCAGAGCTGAGGATCTGTGAGAGAGACCATCAGGCCTTCAAAGCCTACAATATTTACTACCTGGCCCTTTATAGAAAAAGTTTGCCGGGCGCCTGGGTGGCTCAGTCAGTTAAGCATCCAACTTCAGCTTAGGTCATGATCTTGCAGTCTGTGAGTTCAAGCCCCGCATCGGGCTCTGTGCTGACAGCTCAGAGCCTGGAGCCTGCTTCAGATTCTGGGTTTCCCTCTCTCTCTGCCCCTTCCCTGCTCACACACTGTCTCTCTCTCCCTCGAAAATAAACATAAAAAATAATTAGAAAAAGTTTGCCAATGCTGATCTAAATTAACAACACATATATGTATGGTATATATACAACATCTCTCCACTCATCCTCTTAACAAATATTTATGGTGCACTGTACCACTCCTTAGGGGATACACTAGTGTGAGACAGAGAAGTCTCCCGCACCTTGGAGGCCCAAATCTACCAAACTGTCAATCCTGAGCAATAAATAAACACCAAAGGGGGGCCTGTGCAAAAGAGAAGAGAATGTCTGAGGCTAGACAGAGCCATGGGTAACTAGAATTACTGTGAACCGTAGAGATGGATTCTAAGTGGAACGGGATGAAGAGGGGGGAGGGGAAGGCCTTGGCAACACTGGAAGTGGACTTGAGGTTTGATGAGGGCATACACAACGTTTATGCTGTTCATCTCTACTCCCAGCATTATGCAAAATGGCTGCCACTACAGTTGCTTGATGAATAATGTTTAAAGAATTACATGGCAGGGGCGCCTGGGTGGCTCAGTCGGTTGAGCGGCCGACTTCGGCTCAGGTCATGATCTCACGGTCCGTGAGTTCGAGCCCCGCGTCGGGCTCTGTGCTGACAGCTCGGAGCCTGGAACCTGTTTCAGATTCTGTGTCTCCCTCTCTCTGACCCTCCCCCATTCATGCTCTGTCTCTCTCTGTCTCAAAAATAAATAAACGTTAAAAAAAAATTAAAAAAAAAAAAAAGAATTACATGGTAGATGAATAAACGAGCATCTTGAATACCAGGTTAGCTATTCTGTAAGACAGCTGAGTCAAGGATTTCCAACGTGATAAAGTGATCTCTGGGAATACTTTGAAACAAAAGAGTGGATACGAAGATAAGGAAGCGAGTGTTTATTGAATAACTACTACACAGCAAGAACTTGACGAGCATAAAATCATTTAATTCTCTCAGCACTCCTTTTATTTTGCAGATCAACAAATTTAGTTTGGGAGAGGTTAAATAACTGGCTAAGGTCACACAGACAGAAAACAGTAGAGTCAGAATTCAAACCCAAGTCTATCAGCACATGCGCATGCCTCCCAGTCATGTTCATACCACGCTCTGCAGACCTTGGACTCTCACAGTCCCCATAAGGAACACTGTGACCAATTCAGTAACAACTGGGGATCAAGAGCAAAGACTCTCCACCCACCCTCAACCAAAGCAGTTCTCATTTTCTCTGCCTCACACATGGAGCTTCCTGATTTCATCCGAATAGTTCTTGGGGAAACAAAAAAGAATAGAAACCACTATGCTAGACCATACGACTTCCTACAATAAAGCCAGAAGGCATGGTTTTCAGCCTTCTGTCCATCACCAATGGGCTGTGGGTTCATGGCCAGCCACTCCTTCTTCCTTCCATTGCTACGCAAGAGAGATTGAATGACTGACAAAACCATGTTGTGTTTCTTGACTTTCCAGAGGGAATAAGATTAAATGAAAAGCTCTTTCAGTGAATGAAAATGGGTGGACCACTTCGAATAAAGTTCTAGGTAAAGTTGTAATTCCATCAAAGAAGCCAATTAGAGGAGCTCAGCTGGACGCCTTGCATGATGCCTGCTCATGGCATCTGATGTTAGGATGCAAAAAAGCAAAGGGGAGCCAATCTTTTTTTTTTTTTTTAATTTTTTTTTTAACGTTTATTTATTTTTGAGACAGAGAGAGACAGAGCATGAACGGGGGAGGGGCAGAGAGAGAGGGAGACACAGAATCGGAAGCAGGCTCCAGGCTCTGAGCCATCAGCCCAGAGCCCGACGCGGGGCTCGAACTCACGGACCGTGAGATCGTGACCTGAGCCGAAGTCGGACGCCTAACCGACTGAGCCACCCAGGCGCCCCATCAATCTTTTGACATTACCTGGTACAACCAGCACATGACCCAATGCAGGGACCTTTGTAAACAGTCCACAGAGGCATGTCTACTTACCGATAGAGATGTAACAGGTGAATATACTGATTCTGGAAGAATTCATAACTGGAAACAATGCCACACTCATCTATGGCTCGACCATTCTTATACCAAGTTACCTCTGGCTTGGGCTGACCTGATAATGACAACAGAAGAATATTCCTATTGCAGTAAGCATTTTTAGAAAAGAAAATCATAAAGCAATGAATAGGAGTGAGTAATAAGCCATAGGGATGGACATGCTGAACTGTGTCAGTTGGGGAACTAGAAAATCTCTCTCATCGATTCAAATGCATCGTCTGATAAGCACTATTGAGCAAGCTACGTACCTAAGATGATCCTGTGCAGGGGTGTGGATGAGGCCTACAAAATGAAATGCTGTCCCTAACCCTAAGGAGCTATTAAGAAAAATCATCTAGGGGCGCCTGGGTAGCTCAGTCGGTTAAGTGTCCAACTCTTCGATTTCATTTCAGGTCATGATCTCCCGGTTTGTGAGTTCGAGCCCCGAGTCGGGCTCTGTGCTGGCAGCGTGCAACCTGCATGGGATTCCCTCTCTCCCTCTCTATCTGCCCCTCCCCCATTGTCTCTCTCTCTCGCTCAAAATGAATAAACATTTTTTTAAAAAGAAAAATTATCTAAAACTTGGATATGAGGAAAAAATGTGGATAATATCTTCTTTCCATGTCCTATGGGGACAAAGGTCCATCTAAGAATCACCTAGGGGAATATACATCGTTTAATTTGACGATTACCACTGATTAAAATTCCCAGTTTGGGGCACCTGGGTGGCTCGGTCGGTTAAGCATCTGACTCTCAGTTTCTGCTCAGGTCATGATCTCCCGGTTTTGTGGGTTCGAGCCCCGCGTCAGGCTCTGCACTGACAGGGCGCAGCCTGCTTGGGATTCTCTCTCTCTCCCTCTCTCTCTGCCCTTCCCCTGCTCACGCTGTCTCTGCCTCCCTCAAAATAAATAAATAAACTTAAAAAATGGTTAAACTCCCAGATTTAGTGAAGTTACATACAAACTTGTAGATTTTTATCCAACAGAGACGTAAATAATCCCTGCCTGGCAGAAAAGATAATCCCGTAAATCTTGGCTTATCGCCCTACAGGACATTAACCGGTGTTTTACCTAGTCCAGCAATCTTATCCTAACATTCCCCTATTAAACTGCCTATAAATACCTAATTCCTCTAATGTTCCTACTTTCTGGTTCCCTCTTTACTCGAAGAATTAAATAAAACCACTGAAATGTTCATTTCCTATTTGCACGGAAGTCACTGTACCTGTGGAGAAGTATCCTTAAACGGCGCTCGGAGCTGAGCGTATGCCATGGCACAGAAGAGGGAAGAACAAAGTGGATTAGCACATTAGTGGATTAGTCCCCTCATGAGGCGTGTATGATTTCCGGGCCGGTCCTGTGCATACCTGACTGGTGTCGTCACAGAAACTGCCCTACGCTTTCTCCCTCAGGAGGGCTTCCTCCTGCCCTTGTGATCGGTAACCAGATCTGATGGACTAATCTGGTGAAACCCCCAGGAATTCCATTCACCCCTTGGGATTTTTTACCCCTGTGACCGCGAAGGAAGGTTTCCAGTGTGTCCCAATGAGCTTCCCCCCTAGCCTCCGTAACACTGAAAACGTACCCAAATGTGCCCTGTCTACAGGAGGAAAGCCCAGTATTGGGAAACAAAATAGTGTTCTAGATCCATCCTTCTTGTGTTTCTGTCTGACTTATCACAGGATTTTTGGTGAGCAGCCCCAGACACCACGAAGAGAAGAACCCCACGTGTTTCTGGGCCCTGCGCCATGGACCCGTCCTGACGGTGCTCAGAGCCCCTGCCTCCTTCCCTGTGTCTTGTCTGATGGGGCGTCTCCCAGCTAGGCTACCTCTGTGCCAGCACCACGAATGTGGGTGATCCTCCTGGCCTCCCCCTTCAGGTAGCGCCCGCCTGACTACTTGGTCCCCGGAACTAGGAGCAGACAGACCTACGTGCAAAGATACCCCCTTCTTCCCCAGTGGTTTGGCTGAGTCCCTTCCAGGCAAGTGACTAAAGCACCAAAAATGAGCTTCCCTGAGAAAGCACCAAGGAGGTTGGGGATTACAATTCATTTCTGCCTGTTCTCAGCCTTTTGTCCCCCTCTCAGTCGGCTTTCTCAGATTCCTTCTCAGGAATCCTCTCCTTCCTCCTTTTTTGTATATCCTGGACTCCTTTTTTTTAAAAGAAGGTGCATAAAGTGTGCATGAGCTGGGCCCGGGACACTCATTCGAATCTCTTGGACTCCAATTTTTTTCATTCAGACCGATCAGGGCTGGTTGATGCCCCTATGTTTCTTAGCAGCTGACTGGTTTTTTCCTCTTGTGCAGTATAGATCTGAATAATCAGCCAGAAATGAGACTCACATAGGGAAGTGGTATCTTGTACCTTTGTGGGTGGTTCTCTTTTCTCCCTCCACTTGCTGGAAACCTCGCCCCAAAATCCTACCCTTGTTTTTTTAAGCCTACCTGCAGATCACACATGGAGAGCCACCTCCAGAATGTTTCGCCATTGTGCGTGGGGACCGGTAGCCAAGTTTAGGGTATGTCCAAACACTGGGGCTTCCTGAGGACACATGGGGGCCACGGCATGGAGGTTTAGTGGTGGACGTGTGTCCGTCCCTCTATTTGAATGGCTATGGACAAATGCCAAGAAAGATGGGGGCTTGGCTCTGGCCTCGAAGAGGCTGAACTCACTCACAGGTGGACACCCCAGCACCCAGACCAGAGATGAGATTTTGTTATGACTTCAGCTAAGGAAGCACGGCCATTTCAGAAGCTGGCTCTTTTCCTCTCCCCATCTAGAAAAAGGGATCTCAGGGGAGAAGAGTTTTCTGTGCGCCCTCCGGAAAGATCACTGGTGCCTCTATGTTTTCGAAGGTAGAGACACAGTCCAAGAAAGGAAACAATCCACAAGGTACAAGGTACCACTTCTTGACCCAATTATTTTGCTTCTATTATTTTCGTTTAATAAGAAATCCTTCTTACCACCGGGGACACCAATTTGGGGTCAGGTCTGGGTTGTTTATTCTCCAGCCCAGGGAGAATCCCAGCCCCCTGCTCCTCCTCCGTTGGGCACCCCCTGCCTTGGTTTTTACCTCTTCACTGCTGACCAGCATGCCCGACGAAGGCGGGCAGTGGGATGTATGTAGCTGGTTTGGGGGATATCAAGGAATGAGTGATCAAGAAGGTTCCAATAAATCGACTGAAGGAAAGTTACTCACGACATTCCTATGTACACAGGAAATTAAGAATGGATTCTCTGAAAAAATAACCAGGGCGGGAGTCACCTAACCCAGAACCACAAGGCGAAGTGAAAAAGATCACTAGGCTATATCCAGGAAGTCGCTCAAAGAAACCCTTGGCGGGGGGGGGAATCATAGAGGATTTAGTTGTTCAACTGGTTACTCAGAACAGACTTCCCAAGCCATTTTCACAAATGATTTTTTTTTTTAATTTTTTTTTCAACGTTTATTTTTGGGAC